AGTTGTAACAGACATACCACCTGAAAAGCCAAAAGGATTTACTCTCTGGTCCTTTACAGACCCGTGGTCTGGCCCACAGTAGGTGCTCTGTGAGATCTTTAAAATGAGCGGTGATAGCAGCTTAGGGAGCTGCTTCCACGTGCAGGGACTGTGTTAAGCTCTAACTATATCATCACATTTGAGCCTCCTGGTGGCCCTTCGAGGTTTAGCAGCCACTGTTCCTCTCATTTTTCAGAAGAGAAAGCTGAGGATTAGTGATTTGCTCAGCATCATAGTTGGTAAGGAGGTGGCTTTGGCAGGGAAACACAGCTGACTGCCTCCAGGACCTTGGCCTTGCCGAGGAAGGAAAACATGGGTGGGGTTGTGGAGACACAGGTGGTGCGGGCAGAGGTGGAATGGGGGTACTCGTCGCGGGTAGGGGTGGGCACAGCGTGGGACGCCATGGGACGGCCTGGCCTCCAGCAGCTCATGCCGGCACTTGGATGTCCCGTCGCAGTTGGGGAACATACAGTCACAGCACTGACTGCCTTGAGCACCTGGATCTTGTGTTCCCACTTGGGACGCTGTGTTTCTTGATCACTTCTAAGGCATTCAGATAAAATTCAGTACATTAAGAAATGAGAGCAGGACAGGGCTGCTGTTTGGCTTATGGTTCAGTCCACCATGCTGCTCATTTCAGATGAAGCTTAAAAACAGGCTGGTCTTCTGCGAAGTTTAACCAACTGCAGCAAACCCGGTGAGCAGGTAGTTTAGCAAGGGGTGATCTCCCTCCTCTGAGGACACTGCTGGGCTGGCTTTCTGTTGCCCTGGACACCTTGGAGATCCCTGGGTGCTGCGGTCCTGGGTGCTGTAAGGTGCTAGTTGTTTCTTTGATCTCCCCCAACACCGTGTTTGGAGCTTGTTGGGGTCAACACATCACCACCACCCCTGGAAATGAGTGTCTGCCTCTTGCTTGGTGGATGGATGCTCAGTGAGTGCTGGACTGGACGGTGTCTTACAGGGACTCAAAGTGATGGTGATGGGCAATCAACCTGCTTGCTGGGCCTCAGGCACTGAACATGGGGTATTTCACATGCATTATCACATCACATCTCCATATCAGCCCCATTTTCATTTCCATAGTAGGAAGGAAGGATCCACGATCCAGGGACTTGTACTTGCTTCAGGCCCCAGAGCTAATCGTGCAGGTGGTGGGGGTTGGGGCCCGTCAGCCCACAGTCCCAATCATCACTCTCAGTCACCATCTCAGGTAGGGGTGGCCACAGCCCTTGGGCCACTTGGGGACAGGCCATTAGGCCTGGCCTGTGACTTTCTAAATGTGGACCCTCACCTGTTTGCTAGGCTGGGTCAAGCCTTTAAATAGCCTCCCGGTTCAATTGGGGTCAGGCCTTCGGGAGGAGGCTGACTGTGAGCAGCTGTCAGAGGTGTGGCTCCTCCCTCCTCCAGGACAGCCCTTTGCCAGCTTTAGGATTCGGGCATAACTTCTTGGGGTCCAGTCTCTTACTTCTGAGGTGGCTGGGTGTGCAAAGCAAGTGGAGATGTTTCTGTTGCCTAATACATGGTGAAAGTTGATGCCACCAGAAAATTGAGACATATTTAAATAGTAGCTATAAGTCATTTTGTTCCGTGCTGTGTTTTGCCTCTGGACACTTGTCCATCCCTGCTTATCTCTAAGTCCTTCACATGTCACCTCTGATTCCCCCTCATGGCGTGATTCAGCTAACAAGTGTCATTGAACATTTTTGGGAGGCCCACAAGAACAGAAGTGGAATAGTCCTGCCCTGTGGGACTAGCCTGGGGGAGGGGGACAGGCCAGCTGAGTGTTTCCTCATAGTGGGTATTCTGGGAGCCCAAGCATCTGACTTCGTGTGTGGAATAGAGTAGAGTTGCAAGCACTTCTCAGAGGGGCAACTCTGGCTGGGTTTTCAAGGCTGAGTAGGAGTTGGTTGTAAGGATGAAAGGGCAAGCTGTGCTTGGGGAGCTAAAGGCCTGAGTATGATGATACAGGTGAGTACTGGTGGGTAGACCAGCTGTAACACAAAGTGAAAATGCTGGAGGCAGTGGCCAAAGAGGGAGAGCTGGGCCGCCTTCCTGCTTGAAGCCCCTCTATGTGCTCCGGCTCACATCATTGATAGTAGTCAGGGCTTCTTACCCATGCGGGCTCCTTAAGGATGAGTTGAGGGCAGTGGAGAGAACATAGGTCTGGAGCTCTCCAGCCTGAGTTCAAGCCCCAGCATCATCCCTTGCTAGCTTTGTGACTTGGGGCTCATTCCTTAATTTATCCTAGTCAATGTAGGAGGGACTGTCCCTGCCTCCCTCTGGGACAGGGATGGGGAACACCTGGTCCTGCCACAGCCTCACCAAAGAGAAGTAGTTCCAGCCATCCCATTAGGGGCGAGTTAATTAAATGTTTGACCAAATATAGCAGGCTAATTTTTAAGTTGATAATTTTGTACGGCCCACAAATGATGTTAGAAATATCCAAATGGCCTTTGGCAGAAAAAATATTCCCCACCCCTGCACTGGGGGCTGTTGTGTGGAGTGAATGAGGCAGGGACAGAGAGCGCCTAGTGCAGGGCTAGGGACAGGCAGAGAGAAGGCGCCCGGTGAATCCAGTGTCTTAATGACCAAACCCTTCCCACTTCCAGGCTTTGATCAGAACCATGTCCACTGAGGTAAAGTGTAGGTTTCCCCTCTGCCAAGAATCTTGGATTCTGGCCCACGCAGGGAAAATGAACACATACATACGTGATGGATAAGCAGGAGCTAGCGGCCCCTCCCAGCTGTTAGAACCTGTGAGTGGGGCAAGCCTTGGAAAACTGCCCACCAAGAGGAACAGACAGGTTCCCGTGTATGCGTGTTCGCAAACTGAAGGCATTGGGGAGACTCAGTCCCCCTGGGATCCTGAGTTGTGCTGGGAGGGCTCCAGGGGGAGGGAGCAGAGATGAAGGGAATGAGCTGAAGGGCTCCCCCATGTGCTGAGCACCTGGGACAGGAGTGAGTCCAGCGGACTCCTTCCATGAGGGGACTCCTCCCATGAGGGGCCTTTAAGGGACCAGCCATTGCATTCCACATGCAGCATGTACCTGACACATAGTAGGCCCATAGTACTTGTTTGTTGTATCGTATGGACCCCTCATTTACAGGAAATTGCCGAGAGCTATTTTTCCAAGAGTGTGTGTATAAAATGTTCAAATAATTGTGTGTTGAACAAAAAATTGTCCAAATCACCATTTTTTTCCAGGACCCAGATCAGCGGAGTGAATCTTGAATTGAGGGGCCTAGACTCAGCCCTCAAACCCAGGACAGACTCTTAGCCCCCACCCCTTCCTTATTAAGGAAACGGGCTGAGTGAAGTCCTATACCTGTCAGCAGAGACACTTGTCCAACCAGACGAGGTTATAATGTCAGACACTCTCACGCCGTGGCCAGCAGAAAGGGGACACTGAGGAAGTGTTTCCTTCCCGAATTTAAATAGAATAGCTTCTTGATTGAGGGATTTTTTTCCATAGAGGAAGTCCATTTGGCCTGGCCTAGTAAAAACGGTGCAGGGGCTCAAAAGTGGAGACAGAACTTCCCGTGGCAGGAGTTTCACCCCTAGGTTGTTGGTTTGGGTCTGGATGCCTGGAGCACTGTTGTCACGAACCAGGGGCCTTTATCTGATGGTTCTCGTGTATGTTTTTGCTGACCAGGAGCTGAGAGAAGATAATTTCACTTTAATTGATACCAAGTCCATTCTGGAGGAACAGCTGACTGCTGCTCGGGCCCGGGTGGACAAACTGTATGAGCTGGAGAAAGAAAACCTGCAGCTGAAATCGAAGCTTCATGACCTGGAATTGGTATTACAAGCTGTTGCCACCACGTGTAAAACCAGACAGGGGCAGTTTCAGGTTATGCGGTGCCCTGCTCTGATTTTCATCCGCTGGGTTGGTGCTGCGGCCGACACGGTGACCCACTGACTGCAGTGTCGCTAAGCTCAGCGGCTTGAGTGGGCACCACTTAGGGTCCCCCAAACAGATAAGGCTTGACCGCTGTGCTGCTTTTCTGTAAGGATGGATGTACGTGGGTGCCTGTTGTAAAAAGTGCCCCTGCTGGCATGTATGGTGTGAGTTGAGCTGTGATTTGTGAGTCCCTACGGCCTTTCCAAGGCATGTTAGGCCTGCTCAGGGGCCACAAAGCTTCCATTATCACATTACTTGCTATAAAGCCTGTGCTGTAGCCACTTTGTTCATACACTACTCGGAGACCTCAGGCCTCTTCATCACCCAGGTGCTGGGTCAACATATCTTTTAGTGGTTGTTACTTAGAGCTGGGGCCTGTGTTGGAGTCATTTCTGTGCAGCTGTGTTTTTGGAAGTGAGCAGGTGCATGGACGCCCTTCATCCTGGGGGAATGAGCGTAGATACACGGGGGCTGGGGCCTGTCCAGAGGGTGCCCCAGGACACATCCTCCCCCTCCCCTCTTCCTACATAGGACCGAGACACAGATAAGAAACGCATCGAGGAGCTGCTGGAAGAGAACATGGTCCTGGAGATTGCACAGAAGCAGAGCATGAACGAGTCAGCCCACCTGGGCTGGGAGCTAGAGCAGCTGTCTAAGGACGCAGCCCTGTCAGACGGTAGGCAGCAGCCCCTGGTGCTGGGAGCCAGCCCGGCTGCGGCTCCTCCCTCATCCAGGGAGCTGAGCCCTTGGCTCTGAATCTCATGTGTCAGCCCATCCTCACCCCAAGTAAATCGGATTTTATTCAAGGGCCATTTGGAACAGTTTCATTGCAATTCTCCCCAGGGAGAACATGAAGGGCCTGGCAGCCTTGATGTCAGGACATGAAATACAAAGTAAGTGTTGCCAGATTTCTCAGTTCCCATATGGACAGTCCCAGGAGCTTCCAAACTATAGCACGCTGACACCCAGAGGATGTCTTAGATCTATCCATGGATGATTGAAAGCTCTGGATGGCAGGAAACGTCCCCAGTGGTCACTAATCTCCATTATAAATGTACCCTGGGCAATATTTCCTCTGTTCATTTGCATAATTAGGCAAGATGGATGCTGTCTGTCCTCTGTCTCCCTGCTAAGTGGCTGCTTCTCACGGGACCCAGGCCCCTTCCTCTCGCTCTTGTATTTGCGCCCCTGCCCAGCACCCCAGACGAGGTGTGAGCTGGCCAGGGGAAAGTGGGTGGGGCGGCAGTCCTGCAGCAGGAAGCCTCAGCGCCGGCAAACAATAGCCAGTTCCTGTGTTCAAAAATAGCAGCATGCACCTGAGAGTGCAAGTTAATGTTTACTTAGCACTCAGCCGAGCAGAGGCCTTTGGGCTGGTTTGGGGAGGGGGCTGCTTTTTCGATTCTGAGAAATAGTCCTAAGCATGATGGGAAGGCTGTTGAAAGCAGCTGGATATTTCTTCTCTTCAAGGGGTCCCATCAGTTCGAAACCTAAAATCAGCTCGTTGAACTCTTAACCTGTGTGAGAAGTTAGTTCTTCCTGTGGTTTGGTGTCTGGCGTGGGGAAAACGGGAAATCCCACCGGGCTCTGGGATTTCAGGTTGCTGGGAGGACCACTGCCCCCTGGTGGAACACAGAAGTGGTGCCGGCCCGCAGGGAACCGCCTCAGACCCAATGTGTTTCTATCAGAGACCAGGGTGGCTGATGGGGCTGGAAAGCCTCACTGACTCGGACTGCTCAGTGTAGTTTGTGAGCCCCTCAGGTCAGGGATCATGATTTATTCTCGGTGTTCTCAACTCCTACTGCTTCCCTGGCAGCTCCTGAACAAAGCGGAATGTACTTCTGTGTGGATGGTGTAGTGTCTTCTTGAGTCAGAAAGGCCTGGCCTAGAGTCCTGTCTCCTCCACTTCTTAGCTAGGTGACCTCTTTTAAACCTCAGTTTTCTTTATCTGAAAAATGGGGGTAATGAAGTTGCTCGTGGGATTGCTGTGCCTATCTTGTGAGAGGAGACAGTGAAGCGCTACACTGTGCCTGGCCTACGGGCACCAGTAAAGGATGGCTGTTCTTATTGCCCTTGTCTTGGTAAAAGCTGTCCCATTGCTCTGGCTCTTGGGGTGCGCATGAGCGTAGCTCCCAATAAAGAACCATTGGTTGTTTTCCCAGTAAACTGTTGTGTCATCACAATAGCCTGAGGCACTGGCTTTTACCGAAGAGGAAATGAGGCTTGTAATCAATTCCATTGTTGCACTTGGAGAAATTTCAAAATTATTTTCCATGAGTACAGAGCTTAGTGGTGAGATAATGAAAAAGCCTTGGGGTGGGGGGTGGTGATGGTTGCAGGACAGTGGGAATGTAGCTAATGCCACAGAACTGTATGGTTAAAACAGTGAGTTCTGGGTTGTATATATTTCACCACAATTTTTATAAATGTTATTTTTAAAGTGAATGCTGCAAAGGTACCATCCAAATGATTGCAGGTTGTGAAGTAGTGGAGTTTTAGTCAGTTAGTGTCATTTGTAGCCTTCTCAGGACGAAGCCCTTCACATGGTTTCGTGTGTTGAGAGCATGTGTGTTTGTGTGTGGGAAGCGCTGGGATGGAGTTGGGGTCATGACAGCTCATTTGCTCCACTGCTGCTCGGGGTCTTTAGCACGTTCTGGCTTCTTGGGTCTGCACTGCTCTACCAGGTGGGAGATGAGAACTCAGAGCGGGATGCAGACACTTTCGTCCTTGTGATCATCCAGAGTTGCTGAGCACACACATTTGGTCTCCAGCTTGATGTGCCTGCTGTGAAAGCCCCCTCACCCCTGCCCCTTGCGCTTCCAGCCCCCAGGGTGGTCAATCGGCAGCAGGTGGGGGCTCTGCCCTGTTAGCGATACAGTGTGATAGGCCCCTAGGGTTGAGCTCGAGGCACTGGAGCAGCAGGTGAGGGAACAGCCCTGACCCCTCTTTCAAGGGCTTTCATATGCATTCATTTTTTCCTCCTGAAAAAGCCCTGGGATTTACCTAAAGTCACCTGGTGTTGTAGGAAGGGGCTGAGAACCCCCATTCTTCTCCAGTCTGTGCTCCCTTTTCTATTCTGCATTCAAGCTGTTTAAAAGCAAAGTAGGAAATCTGCCTTTTTCTTTCTTTAACTTATTTTATCTCACTTAGAATTCTTAAAGCAATTTAGATACACTCTTATTCTTTTTTCAATATCATTATGAAATTACAAGATGAAATCTTTCTCCAAAGGACCTTATCCAGGAATGCAAGTATCGGGCATAC